CCAAAGCATTTGCAGGTGTTTTGAAATGGTATCTGGATTTCTAAACTCCTCTTCTTGAGAGTTCTGCAATATTGTTCCCAACAGGCACAGACACAAAGTTAAGGCTGCCATGCTCTTTAAAGGGGAACTTCAGAGCCTGGAGTTCTTGTCCGAGTTCTGGAACAGATCCAGAGCTGCTGTTCTAACAAGCCTAGCCCAGCCTGTGGGGGCCTCTGGAGAGTCTTTGGTGCCATGGCCCTCCGTTTGGACTGGAATACTGGTTACACTTACCAATTTTCAAAGTTGAATTTAAACCCCTATCACCTGCATGATACCATGTGATGTATACCTGTGTGCACAATTTCCTAAGCATATTACTCTAGCCTCCATTAGTAGTGTAAAATATGGGATATTTGACTTGCATCAGAGAATATTAATTTTGTATTATTTCTCTTTCATCACTTAAAAAAAACCCAACCTGTTTTAAATCTAAATGTCCAGGAGTAGGGGCAGACTTAAACAGATCACATCCATTTGATGGATTCCTGCTCAGCCTTAATCAAGATGAAAATGAAGGCCACAGAGCAACTTCAACACTTTACATAATGCTAATTTAAAACAAAGCACAACTTAAAATTTTATAAACAGAAATCATAAGATTATTTTACAATAAACTTTTTCAAAAGGCCAGAATAATTTTTAAAAAAGAGAGAATAAGTACGGGGAAAAAAAAAGGAAGAGTTGCTATCCGAGTTCAGAACTGGCAATCCAAGGGTTTGGCTGGCCCGAGAGTGTATCTCATATGGCCCACGCAGTGGTTGTCAGCAGAGTCTGAATAATAATAAAAAAAAGGAATAGGTTGCCAACATTTGGAAATTGGAACACAGCACACAACCACCCAGACTGCTGGCTCCTCCTGAGACACAGGGCAATCTGGCACTGGGGCCTGTTGCCCCTGCAGGCAGCAGTTGGGGCAGGTGAATAGGGCATTTATTCTCCAGGTGGCCAGAGGCCCGGCTGGGTCAGCTTTCTGTGTAATCTCTAGAATAGGGATATGAGTGATGGGATTCATTTTCCTTTCCTAACCCTCTTTCCAAACTTGATATTGGTTATTACCAGGTCATCAGAAAAGTCACAACATTTTTTTTTGTTTTTCTATGCAAAAATGTTCATGACTTTTTTGATGACCCAATATACTACTTTATAATCATTAAATGCCCAAAAACTGATGTTGAGCTGGACCAGCAGATGGCTTAATGGTTACGTTGTTGGACTCCTATGTAGTCAACTGTGGTGAGTCCCAGACCCAGTGGCTTAATGCTCATGCTAGGCATGTATTCATGCGTGCCCAAAATCCTAAGAGAGAAATGGAGGAGAAGGGATTGTGACATGGCCATTCCCCTGGGGGATGACTTCTTACTTTCTGTTTTTTCTGTCTCTCCAGTGAGCACACATACCTTATAGCAAAAATATCTCTCTAAAACAAAACAAAACAAAACAAAAACTAATATTGAGAAAGAGAGTTGGGGCTCTTCTCTACTTAGATGTCATTTTCAAATGTCTAGTCTTGAGTCTAGTATGCTCACCTGAGAATGTTAGCTTGACTTGATGGTCCTCAGACTTGGCCACTTTGGAATCACTTGGGGAGATTCTGAAGACCAATTGCATCAGAAGCTCTGGAGGACTCAGGCAAAGGTCCCAGGTGATTATACCATAGAGGACTTAGGCACTTGAAAAATCAGGGAATACTGTCATTGGAACAGTTTCTCAACCTCTGTACTATTCACCTTTGGGACCTGCCTGATAATTCTTTGTTCTGGGGACTGTCCTGTGTAATGCAGGAGTTTATAGTGACATCGCTGGCCTCTACTCGCAGATGCAGGAGCATTCCTCCAGGTGAGAACCACTGCACTAAGTTATGTGTGTATATATATATTCATCTATATATACACACACACACACACATACACACACACACACACACACGCACACACAT